TAACTCAATTTTAGCTGAATCATTTTAAATGTGATATTTTATCTAAATGTGTGATTTAAAGATTCTCTAATAATAAACCACAGTAATCAGGTTCAGAAAAAAAAAAAAAAAGATTCAGTTACCATTTCTTCTTTCACTGTTTTTGACAAAATGTTATACATAAGGATTTCAGGGTTTTCTGATTTTTGGAAAGTAAATATTTAAATAAGTGTGATTTATGGCATTATATTGTTGTTATGTTGTACAAACATATTGTTGAGGTCTCTCAACTTGTAGTCATGGCTGTGCTGTTTCTATTGATGTGCATAATGTTTAATTGAAAGGAAAAATGTTCACATGTCGAATACAAAAAAAAGCCACCAAGCTGCTAGAGGTTCAGAAGGTTAATTTCGTGACTCTCATCCAAAGCGACAGGATTGATAAAAACTGTAGCCTTGATCAATGTGAAATAACAGGTGAGAGGCAATGTTTCAAAAACCTAAATTGCTTGTCATCGTAGATGAGGTCTAGCAATCATCACACTCAATAAGTTTCATTCAATACATGTCTGACTGTCAATACAGCTCCATGCAACTTTAAGTTCGGTCGAGTTCCATCGATTCCACCAAGATAATCATCTTGGGAGCGCTTAGATTTACACCCTGTGAGGGGGTCGTGGAACCGCTGCTCAGGATAATCCACAAAGTTTTTAAAGGATTTTCTTTCTTCAAAGAAAGCAATTCACATCAAGGTCTGTGGATTTTCCAGGGTAAGTAGACACATGTTGTTAGATGTCATATTTTGATGCTGTGGCTAAATACCACAACAGGTAGGAGAGAAAATATTGTCTGTAATTTTGGTGAACCAGCTCTTCAGGGACTTTGCTTTAGCCCAATGAGTGAATGTGTGTTGTTTCTCTCCTATAAAGATCTGCAGATACACCAACCACAATGTGCTGAAACATAGTGGAGACAAATTGTAGACTACATCTGGGTCAACCGACGTGGAAAAGACAAAATCGTTGAGGAGAAAAAGCAAGACAGCACCCCTCTGCAATCAAGAAAAAGTAGCTATTGTGTAATAAGATGTTTACATGCCTTGGAGCTGTGGTGACGTGTCATTATGTGGAGAGAGCACTTAATTCCTGAGCCTGGTCTAGGCAGAAACGAGTAAGAAAGAATACGCTTGGCAAGGCCTGGTTGTGGCCCAAGGGCTGATTTAAACCAGTCTGATATGTTGTTGCTGCTCTATCAGCTGGCCCTTTCTAACATCTTATTGCATTTGTTGGAACGTCGCCTGTTTCTTATGGGAGACGTCAAGAAGCAGTCTCACAGATGACACAAGCAATTATGGTGAATACACACTATAAAGATGTGCATTATGAACACTTTAACCGTGCATCTTCTACTACGACAGGGTTTTTGGAAGATAATAAACCTCGGCCTGTTACTTTTGAAATAATGCGTGAGGATTCCCTTCCTTTCTCTCTGTTTTTCTGCTGTAATAAACTTTACTTCACTTAAGAATCCACCACTTAAATAAATTAAGCCGGCAAAAGCGCCTTCATTATATGACTTTGTGAAACCTTTTTGATGATTAGGCAATAGAAAGGACCTGTCAGCATTTACCCACTCATCCATCACACTGCTCCTGGGTGGACTTTAATGACCTTTCATTCAGTATAGCCCATTGTGACTGAAACATGCACCAGCCCATGAATATTTCATTACAACAAGCTAGAACTTGACCATGTGCTATACACCCAAACGCATGACTCTTGCTTCTACTTCACTGAAATGTCAATGATCTCTAAAATAATAATAAAAAAGAAAAAACATCCACCGGGATCAACAAAAATGTTTAGTGTTATGATATATATATAATGATCTTGTTCGTTATGGCAACATAAAACAACCAAAACTTCGAGCTCATTCCAACGCAGTCAAGCGTATCAACAGTGTGAATAAAATATATAGCAACGCAGTCATTTGTCATGAAACCAATGAGCTCTAATTCATACAAATCAGCTGCCACACAGGAACAGCTGATATTTACTGTCCAGCGCCAAGGCAAGCTGTTACATGAAAGCACCTCTTGGCTGCATTGCAGATATAAAATTCATATTCTGTGGCCGAAGCTTGATCTTCCTCCTTCTCCCTGCAACAGGGCCTGAACAGAATGTAATCATGGGAGAAACAGGGATCAGTCTCTTGCTCTACCTGCCACTCTGTATCTCTTTACTCTTAACCTTTACTGCAACAAACAGAGGGACGTTTCTAATCCCGCAAAGGGTCGCCGAAAAGTGGCCATAAAAGTAAGCAAATGTCAGACAATTAGAGACTCATTTCTTTTTGATTTTTTCTGTTGAATTCAGACGACTACCGTTGTTGCCGTGGTGACAGTTTCGGGATTGTGAATCTTGAGGCTCCGAAGCAACTGTCAAACATCTGTTCGCATGTAGCAAAAACAACAAACATGAGAAAAGCACACACTGCTCTCTAGGCCAACGCTGTACAGTACCATCTGGTTGCAAGCGCCACGTGAAGTATTTTGTGTCTTTCCAGACACACGATGCATAAGCGAGGATTGTTACTGTCAGAAGAAATGCTCCCCCTCTTCACCCTCCCCCCGTCTTTCTGGTGAAATATCACCATCACTTGAGGTTGTTTCTGTCCTAGAGAGCACTCAGCAGTTGCTCAAACAAGCCCTTTTGGCTGTTCTGAGCTCAAGCCAGCTCTGTAATGGGGAGGGAGGAGAATTTGGAAAAGAATAAAAATAAAAGAGCAACTGTTCCCTACCCCTTCTGATATGTCTATTTCTGTACGTCCCAGTCTTGTATGTTTCTCAGTATGTTCAAAAGAAGGGAAGCAAAAACAAAAAACAACAACGACAGACTGAACGACTAGATGGCTGAGCGACCAACCGAGCAATTGAATGAGTAATTCAACAAAGAGTGTGAGCCGGGGGACTGATCAGCCGACTGACTGACTGACAGCGGGACAGCTGACTGATTGTCTGAGTGACTGATGTCCAGGTAAAGCTTTACTGGTTCTTAGCATACTAATCATGACATTGCACGGGCGGTGAGGGAGGGTGAAAGTGAGAGAAGAGGAGAAGAAGGGAAAAGGGAGAGCGAGACGGGGGGATAAAAAAGAGGGGAGAAATAAACCAGAGATGGAATTGCAGGAGGTGAGCAGAGGGAGCTGCGTGAGGCTTCGCTGGAGTGCAGTTCCAGGTTGTTCCTGATAAGGCTCAAACAGGAAATGACTATATGGAGGCACAGTGTCTCAAGTGGAATACTAAGAGACTCTCTGTCTCTTTCTCCTTCCATTAGTCTTCAGTAGAGGACAGTATGCTACTGAATCCCTAATACATTTTCTTTATGATTATTACCACAGAACTCAGCTTTGTAATAGTCATATTAAACTGTGTAATTGCTCTAATTACGAAGCCTCGCTCTCTATCCAACACAGAACTCAGCCAGCAGTATGTATTTCAGTGGGAAAAATTTGGGAGTACTGAGCAAGAAGAGCTATTTATAACATACTTTTGAGTTTACACTTACCCATAAAAGAATTCGAAGGACGGAGGCCGTTTAGATGGATCTTCAACTTGAGCAAAATCTTTCTTTCTGCGGCTGTAGTGTTTGAGAGGCTTCAAAGGACACGTTTAAATTGCAGCAGGTCTGCAGAGTAGCCAGCAGGGGGGAGTGCTGATCTCTGCTAAATGTGACAGAAAACACACACACACACACACACACACACACACACACAAAATTACATATTTGTTCCACAGCTCATTTTGAAAAAAAAAAGACTACTTACAGCCATATGATACAGTGTATGCCTTGAACTGAGTGTTTTCTTTTTATATTTCTTGGCCACTTCTACCACCCACAGGGGAGAGTTTTTGCTGTTCTGAACTGTCACCATCAAACTGCACTTACATTAAAGACAAGGTGCCAACAGAATTTTCCTGAACTGCTGACTGACCATCTTTTCAAACTGGCAACAGTTAGATGCACATGTCCATTCATGAGCAGCTTTTTTTTTTTTTTGTCAGTGTGGAATGTCAAGGAGGGAAGTCTGGGTTGCTGAAACCCAACTAATGATAGTATACTTGCACTTGTTCATATCATCTATAAGCATACTAATTAACACAACACTCTATAGGGTGTGCAGCATGGTACACCAACTTCTAACCACACAATGCTTGATAAAGGTGTATAAGCAACTAATAGTAAATTATTAATACTATAAAAAAAAAAAAAAAACAAACACCACTGCCTTATGGCTTATTTGCACACAAAAAAAAAATATTGGCTACGTTTTTCATTTATCCATCTTACACGATGTACCCATTTTATTCAGTCCAACTGTCTCCACTGGTGCTGTAAAAGTTTTCCCCAAAAAACAATTACAACAGACTCTTTTATTTCACACATCTTTTTCTGAAGAACTACTAAAATGCTCAGAAGTTAAACCCAACTAATTAGTTCATTTCATTTAAAATCATAAATGATTGAGCTTGACTCTGATTGTGGCTGATTTCATACCAAACAGGCAGCCCCTGTTATTGGACAAGGCAAAGCTAAGGTTAAGATTCGACCCTTCGCTTCAAACTGCTCAGTGAGGGCAGCATCTGAGCTCACAGGTAGGATGTTGATTGCACCTTGAGTGATAAAGAAAAACAGAGAGTGCAAGAAATCACTTCCCTTTGACTGGCAACACAGCTGTTTGTTTGCAATTACCAAAGTAACCTGAACTGCACTCATTATGTGGTTGAAAATAAAACGATTTGCTGAGAATTTTGAGAACTTTATTTTCTAGGAAACATAATTTATCATCACATCACTTGAAACAGCTTGCTTTACAGAGAGATCACAACACTGCAGGTCTCCGGCTTGTTTGGGGAGTCGAGGGAGTGGCTGCACGCTCGGTTAGCTGAGAAGCTAAGCCATGCTAAGCAAAGCTAGGAAGAAAAAATGGCAGGGCTAAGTGCTGGCGTCTGAGCTTGCTCTTTCAGTTGCAGTAGGTGGACAGGTCATAGATGCTGCAGGGCCGGACACAGCACTGCTCCACAATGTTGGGTTTCGCCAACAACGCCATGGCTTCATTAAAGGCAAACACTGGGGCCGGGTTCTCGTCCGCCGATCTGCCTGCCTTTGGTGGGAGGAATCCTGATGGGACAGATAGTTAAGGGCAAAAGTCATCATGCTGGTGTAAAGTTAGCACACACAAAGCTTGGAGGGATTGAACTGAGGCCAGGGTCGTGGGATAAGCCGCTCTAAAATATGGTACTTTAAATTGCTGCTTAGTTTTGTAGAGTCTAGAGATAACTGAAGTGTAATGTAATACTGCGAGTGTTAAGTGTTTTGTTGTTGTTAGTCTCACGCAGCGCTCGGTCGTTGTTGCTCCCGGGGTTGTAGGAAAAACCATTTTCCCCACAGACCAAGTAAAGGGCATCAACCAGATGAGCGCCGCACAGGTGCTGCGCGGAAACGGCTTGGGAGCCCGGGCATGACATGACCAGCAAGACCAGCAGGGCGGCAGTATGTAGCCAGAGTGCTGCCATAATGGTGAACAGCTGAACACACAAACATTTTTTGATGAGGAAACAGGAGCAGGAAAGCTGTTTCCCTGTAGGCCGAAACAATAACAAGAAGTGGGAATGATTGAGCTCAGGTCAAGATGGGAAAGAGATAAGAGGTGAAGAAGAAGAGTGGGTAAGGAAGAAAATTAGAAGTGGAGGAAAAGATCAAGTGAATTTGGAGAATAGGAGGACATGCAGAGATGTATAAATGGGATGAAGATGGGTCAGACGCATTGAATTAGAGAAGAAAAAGACGGATGCATAGATAGTTTAAGAGGAGAAAAGCTCACCTACAGAGTTGGAAGAGTAGAAGATGGATCAAGTGTGGAGGAGCAGTATTAGCGCTTCAAGAGCCAGCTGGTGTGACGCTGAACTGAGGGTCCCCTCTCCATTAATACTCCCACTGCCACCTGGACACGCCCGCTGTTGTGTATGCGTGCAGACAGATGAGTTGATGCTTAAGTTGCCAGTCAGCAGATGTTACGTGACAGTTTAGTTCTGACCGACTGGTTTGTCGGACACACTTTGCAGCACTTAGTAAAACAAACTCAGCTAATGATCCAACATGATCTGATCACCTCTTACTGAAAAATACTCATCACCTCCCGGCTTCTGTTGAGCAGCAGGCCACTAGGATCCCAATGTACTATTCAAACAGGCACGTGGCCATGGAGGGATTTTGTTCTAAAACACACAATTTGAAAGAATGTTTTTTTTGTCCTATTTCCAAGCACCATTGTAAAAAAGCTGCAATTTTGTGACAATTCTATGAATACGTATTTTTTCACTAGATGATTCAAACTATCCTAGCAACAGTACCTCCACTAACTTCTGTTTTGCATTTCAAGTCATGCAGCAGATACACGTTGCCCTTAAGCCTTAGAGAAAAAGTTATTCTCCTGTTTTAGAAACTTGACACCTTTAAATTACAAATGATTTCCTGAAATATATGATGTTTGCACTTACTTAACATGCTTTAAATGGGCAGAAGCCTGTGGACAGCAAAATATTACACTCATATGTGTGTTGAATCTTTCATTCCAAGAGCATGGTAATTAAAATTCACTACACCAGCTCCTGCTCTTCCCTGGGAGGCTTGTTCCAAGATTCTGCGAGTCTGGCTGCAGGCATCTGCTCTCAGTCGGAGCATTATTGAAGTTGGCCATTTGTGTTGGCCGATAAGGCCTGGCACACAGTTAGTGTAACCATTCATCACAAAGATGCTGGACAGGATTGGAAAGGACAGGGCTCTGTGCAGGCCAGTCAAGTTCTTCCACACCAAACTGGGAAAACCCATTTCTGTTTTGAACCTTGGGCATACTACATGCAAATTTGCACATAGTATGCTGTGGATCAGGTGGTACAGCAGGTTGGTCACTTATCGCAAACCTGACAATGTGATCCCTGGCCCCTTAACATGCTGAAATGTCCCTTCGGCAAGACAAGACAACCCCAAGATGCCCCTGATGGCAGCAGAGCACCTTGGATGGCAGCTCTGCCAAAACTGGAGTTTGAATGTGGGACTGACAAACACTGTCAAGCACTTTGTTGAACCTAGTTGAGGTTAAAAGATGCTATTTAAGTACGGCTCATTTAAGATTTACAAAATGGCTAAAAGCATACAAAATGCTAGCATAATAAACACACTGCAGACAATACAAGATAAAATACATTAATATAAACTTGGTCTGTTAAATCATGTCATCCACTGCCTTTGTAATTGTTGTCACTGTCGGGAGGGAAGAATTCTTCTTACCTGGACAACATTTATCATCAAGACACCGTGGTGTGTCTGGAGAGTTCTATCCATACCACTTCTATTCCAAGCAAGCACGGCACTGGTACTCCAGACACTCTGTGCTGTGCCAAATATTGTCTGGAAATACCTGTATGTGAAACAAATTTCCCAATAATAAGCGGTTTTCCCAGTTCTTGTACACTGGTGGGACTCTTATCAAAAGACTGCAACACGGAGAGGAGTCAATAGCAAGGGCAAGCAAGGGAGTAAATTATGTTGGGGAATTAGATTCTTATAAGCTTGAGGAAATACATAATCACCCTTGATCTAATCATAACTGAGTAAACTATGACAAATTGGGATTAGGGTATTGTTATTATCTACAGAGGTGGGAATTATATCTGTCCAAGACCTTGAAATGCTCCATGAACGTGAAATGCAAAGACAGCACCTATGTGTCGGTGTGCACTGAAGGGTGATAGCAGAATGACTGTGTGGTCCGACTGGTCTTTTTGAGTGGCAGTGATCCATCACACTGGTTCGCTGATGGCTCAGAGTGTGATGGTCCCTTCGAGTTCTCAGTTGGCAGCAAAGAGTGAGCAGGTTTTTTTTTTTTTTTTTAAATGATTCAGGCAGGAAAAGTTTTTGGCAGGGTATTGCTGTGGAAATCAGCTTCTGGGTCACATTGTGAGGTATGTCATAACACATGCAGCCGAGTTCCCAGTATTCCCATTTTACCCCTTTTTGAAAAAGAAAAAATAACTCTCACGTGTGTCCTTTATTCTTCTCTGTTTGCTTCTGGCCTGAATTAACAAGAAAAACCTGCCTGTCTCCGTATTTTAGAGAAGTATTCCAGGTAGTGATCAGTAATCCACGTGGGCTGAATCAGTTCCACATCAGTTCCCTTGCAGAGGTAGGATTTAAAGGTTCCTTGACCTGATCTCTTATTTTCCTACTGATCCTCTTGAACTTGCTGCCCACCTTCAGCAACTTGAAGAGTGTAAAAAAAAAAAAAACAAGTAATGGTGAGATTAAAGTGGTGCTTATAAAATCTTGGTGCCAGTGCAGCTTCTACCTACTGGTCCTAAAACCTGAATGAAACCTTTTTTTTTTTTTTGGCTCACTGCCGCAATCAGTTATGAGGATTGACTGAGGCAGCATAGATGGAGCCAATGCAAGCTTAACTCCCCTTAATGCATTATTCACTGAAGTGAACCAAAGGCAAATTTTAATATGCCACAGCATTCCTTCACTTGTGACATGCATACTACCCTTTTTCTCCCTGGATATGTGGTCTAATCTAACAATGGGAAATACTACCAGTTTTTCCGCTAAGCCCACCACTGTTTACATAAGATATTTCCAATTCCAATCAATAAAGTGCTCGCCTGATGTCAGATGGAATTGGCAACATGTTGCACTCTGTGTTCTTCTTCAGTCGCTGGGGGCAGGGAGTCAGTTTTCTCTAACCGAGAGCACAACCTATTGCCTGAATTTAGCGTAATTTTACGTCTCATGGCTACTTATGTATATCCATGCCAACATACTGGTTTTGCTGGGGTTTCAAGAGTAGAGTGGGGTGAAGTGACAACTATAGTGTCGGGTGATATTGAGAATACAAGCAGTCTATGTGAAATAAATCTGCTTATCCAAGAGGCCATATCAAATTCAAGAATTTGTATTATCGCCTTTTTCTGTTGTTACTGTCATTATTCCTCCTTGGTTCTAACACAGTGCTTGATAACTGCGTTAGTCCCACCCATGGCACTGATTGGCAAATCATTAGGCCCCCCCTTATGCCGCGCATTACTTGATCAACTGAGAAACTGCTGTTTAATGTCACAAGGCCAGACAAATCATTGAACTCAGCGAAGTGTACAGATTGAAAGGTCTTGACCCAGGCAACATCTGTGCTCATTTCTAAAGCTACTAAGTAGATGTTCTGCACATATTGGATGTGTTCGTTTTCTATTGTACATTCCCCACTTGTTTACCCATTCATGCATACAAACACCAAAAGCAGTAGAATGATGATTTCTTTCTTTAGCCTGGTCATTGTGGGCTATTGAAGGATTCACCACTTCGCTGAAGAACACCTTGACATGCTCATGCCGGTCTACCTCCTGAGCACATTATGTTCCATGTTTCTCATAGAGGTGGAAGATTAATTACCTTGCTAAGGGCATTTCTACATTCCATTGCAGTAATGCAAATTTGGCTATGGGTGACTGCTGTAAAGTGTTTGGACAGAGAAGCCCTCTTTGGAGCCTCCACCTTAGTTTCAACACAATCCATTCAATGTCTCAAGGGATAAAAAGCTGCGCTCACATCCAGTCCGCCAGCCTGCAAAGGTATGGTTCACACAGTATCAGCTCATCTGTACCCACATGTGCTTGTGCATGGACTATTTATGTCCCCTAGGAATCCTGCGGTTCAAGACAAAACTGTTCCCTAAATGCCACATTCCTGTTCTTAACTGAAAAAGTAGAAATGAAAGTGAAAGCATTATATTCTACAGTTTAGTGATAAGAACAAAGGCACATACTAATGGATTTATTATCTCAACCACAGAAATTCATCTTATAGCCTATGGAGTCGTGTGTGTGTGCGCGTGTGTGTGAGGAAGACAATACGTGCATGAGATAACAGGCTGGAATGTCTTTACTTTTTAAAATGCAACTCAGACAAGATTTAACAATCTTACTTTAATGGCTATATATTTTTCCATCACAAACATTTGGCACTCTTCCTGTAAATGGGTTGTATGAAACAATTTTTTCTGAAAAATCTTAAGGATTATAACCATAAACATATTCTTTCGGAAGTGACATAAAACTGTAACTTTCAACTTCATTTGTCCTGACTTTAAAATTGTAAGGCGTGTAAAACTTTGCACTCATAGTGAGTTTCCATGGTTTTATTTTGTTACAGTGATTATTTTAAAAGCATGGGGCATAGCATATACATTCTGATTTATGCAACTATTAACTTAATGCTGCTTTCAGCATGACACGGAGGCCACTTTAGTTTCATTAGCTGTAGCCATTCACATTATGTGAGCCACTTAAAGATCTGTTGTCACTCTGCATAATCTTGCCTTGTGAGTTCCAGAGTTAGCAAAGCTGAGACAATGTTTTGCAAATGAAAACTGCAATAGATTTACTCATATACATGACATTTCAAGCAATTAGCTGACATTTGTCCAGAGCAATGAGTGAGCCAGCAGCAGGGGTTCACTGATTTC